ACTACAAGTAAATTTTAGGGACATCCTTACTCATGTTTTTTGGTCTTCAATTGACATGATTCAATCATTACAAAAATCCAGTATTTCTGGATTTCTCACTTGGTTGATATGCAAGTCAGTACACAAATGTAGGTACCCTTCTTCTGGGAACACTACTTTAGAAAAACAAAACAAAGATCTATTTATCATGGTACAAAAAAAACATCCAGATATATAAAATATAATAAAACAAATATTTGTCCCTTTTTTGCTTAGTTAGTAGCCTCCAGAAATCAATTTAATGATTTTCTGATCATCTATTGTTGGCTACTTAATATATATGTTTATACAGAGTCAGTTTTATTTCTAGCCCATATTTCATCTTCATTTACAGTACATCAGTAGAAAAAAGTACTTGTGGCATGACGGTGAAGTTTTGGTTCCTGTGAAATGTATAAAGGCACATGAGGATTGTTTGTTCCAGTAAACATGCAGACGAAAAAGAAACCACTGCAGCCAAGACCCAGAGTGATTTAAACTTTAAGGAATGTGTATCAATGCTACCAAGACAGGAAACAAAACTTTATTTTAGTCCTCAAATTATGATTTACTGCACCACACCTCTCACAGCAAACTATTCAAACTATTCAAAGTATGACGTCTCAAATGGTCAAAACTAGAATTCCCATGTGAAAAACATTTTAGTATTCATGCTGTTTGAATGAAAGCAATGCAAGTGTTATTTTATCCCTCTGATTAATATCTGGATAAATAAAGTAGAAATATATAGTCTGTGTATTATATTATGCATGCCAATAGATCACATACACAACGTATAAAAGTCCTCTATATTATATTTTAATAATATTTTATATAAGGCTGAAATTGTTTCACAATGAAAACTAAACTTTGTACCACAATAGCAAAAATATGCCTAAGAGCAATTTAAAAGGGGAAGGATGACAGTTTGTACAACTCGAATAAAAATCGAATTCCTTTTCTTTCTGACAGGTGCCATAAAACAATATACTGTACAAAAGGCTATTTTATGTCTCTTAATAATTAAGTAATGGAGCATGCTGAGCTAATCATTTGGGATTTTTCATTTAAATAGCACTTGTGATGCATCTAGAAGTATGAAAGAATTATATGAGTAAAACGTTTAATTAATCCGGGACCTTCAACGTATTCAGCTCTTGCAAAGTTCCTACAACAACACACACACCTTTTTTAAATCTTAATTAAGGCTTTGCATCACAGAGTCCTCAGAAACATAATGCTCAAATCCCAGTCTATCAATTATAATTAGACCTTCTGTTGGTAATGCCCTGCTCTCATTTATGAATGATCCCTCATGGCAGTTGCTGTCATCACTACGTTTGTTGTAAGTCAATCAGCAGATACTGATAACATGCACTGGATTTATCTCGCACAAAAGTCAACCTCTGAAGTAATTATAAAATAACTCTTTCTGTGAACAAAGAACTTCACAGATAAAATACAAAATTACCCCCCACTGCCAACGCTTCTCTCTTTTGTATTTTTGTCCCTCAATTTAAAATGTTTTTAAGTAAAGGTCAGCTCTGATTGTTTGATGCTTTTAACCACGTAAACCATTTCTAAGTTCAGACACAATTCATGAAATACCAGATGCTGTTTTTCATATCTACTGATCATATCTACTGATGACTTTCGAGATGAGAAAAGCAACATATATCCCTGACCAACAAATACTATTCCAAAATATCAAACATTTCAAATGTGTGAAATTGTGAATGAATATACTTTATATTATGTTATTGAAAAAAAATGTTTTACTTAATTGTTATACTGATCACAGTGAGGTATCATAAGTCAATGTAGAATTTAACAATAAACTTTAATTGTAACACTAATTGTAATAATTCTGATACGTGTATTAAGAAATATTCATGTAATTAATAAATAAGGTCTAACAAAAAGCTTTGCACATTCAGCACCTTCACGCTAAGCAGTCAAATTTTGATTAAACATAGTTTAATAATAGTGTATATGTATATTATGTATAATTTGTAAATCAACTAAATAGGAAGATGGTGAACGTTTTTGCAAGGATCTGCACATACACTCTTTAATAGTGACAGAAATTCTAATAATGACGAAATGAGCTGAAGAATAAAGAGATGCTGTTGCGTGCTTAGTACTTTGGCTTTAACTTGCCTGGCAGAGGAAATGACAGCACCGTCAGGGATCAATGCTGTCACGTCCCCTCAAAGAATCCCTAAAACACTGATGCAGATTTCAAGCACTGAGCTAAGAACAAGTCGGTTTGGCTATGGTTCTGCTGGAAATGAGCAGGCTGTGCGTGTAACGAATGAAAAACGTGTCTGACGCAGGCTTGCGTTTGTTTGAGCTATTGGGTTTGAATGTGGTGCCAAGGAAGCACGATTACTGTGGGTGACAAAACGCCAGTCAGAGAGCAAATGACAGCACTAGCGGCTAGCAGCAGTTTCAGGACCAGCTAGCTTGGACTGGAACTCTATGGTGGGCAGTGGAAATGAAGCTGCAGCGAACAGAACAGTAGCTTGATGCAGAGGCAAGAAAGAAGAGAGCTACCAGTTAGTAGGCAGCTGTACTTGCTTGTTTGAGATTGGAACTACTGTATGCGGTGGGCAGTGGAAGAGCTGCTGTGGCCTGGAAGAGAACCCTTAGTAGCCAGCGGAAACTGGAAGAGAGATGCCTTGCTGAATTTAGCTAGACTGGATGCATGCACAGGCTGACACAACATTTCAGCTGTGGAGCCTTCTTCATGTGTCAACCCAACCCATCTGAAATACAGTAAAAGTGTGTGCATGCAGTATGTAGCCTGTGTACTTCTATGTATCTTAACATTAATAAAAGAATGCAAGATACATGATAAAATTTTGAAGATGCTCCCCACAAATTTTATTTCAGGATATCACTCATTACAGTATATACAGTATCTACAGTAGTGTTACTTTTTATGTAGATGCAGGAGAGACAGTGTCAATGTCATCCAGTCTGGCGGCCTGTGTCATTTCTACAGTACAGGTCTATGCCCCATGCAGCAAAACTGATATCAATTCAGTTTAGTTTATTTGTCATATGCACAAGTGCAATGAAATGTTTATTTACATTATTTACAGTACTTACATAGTTATTGATATAACTATGGTGTTGTATAGACAT